GACCATTTTGAAAACAATTTGTAAAGAAATTTTAAGTTTATTTTTTCCATAAATATATAATATCATCCTTAATATATGTGTCATTTTTAATTTTTTTAATACAATCATATGCAAAGATATAACCTAAGTTAAGCTAGGTTTGGATTGAGCATATCATTTTTTTATCTCGTCTCTTATCGTACCGTGATTTTAATTTTAATCTTAATTTATCATTATTCTTCTTTATTTATTACCGTTTGTTTCATATACTTTCCTCATTTTTTTTAAACACTTACAATTTGTAAAACAAAATCAAAATCAAAAGTTTAAGAACTTACTTTTCTTATTTTTAAAATCTGATTTAAATTTTAAAAAATAGATAAGAAAACAAATAGACACACATTAAAGTAGGATTTGCAAGCTTAATTTTTAAAATTAAACAGAGCTCAAGTAAATGGTTTGATATTAACAAACAGTTTCATTACGATTGAATATTATATCTTAATTAACTCTATTAGATGTCCATTTGTAAAATAAAATCCATTTATTTATTTCACTTGACACATCATCTAATAACCTATTCAAATCAAAATAACAGGAAATTTAACATATCTTTAAATTTTAATTTAGTTCACATCATTGGACTTAGTTTTGATATAGTTTCTGTTTTTAATTTTTTTTTGAATTTAGTGGTTATAGTTTGAGCTTAATTTCAATTGACTTATTTTCTTATTAAATTTAACGAAATTTCTTTTCACTATTTTTTATCCACCAAAATTCACCTCTTTTTCCAAACTTGTAGTATGCTCCAGATCCTAATACAATCCAACTAATAGAATGAATCAAATAAAAAATATTGACAAATTAAAAATAATTGAGCGGAAAGGCTACAGAGAAAATCGTTAATTTAACTTTAATATATAATATATATGATGTTAAATTTCAATGTCATAATTTTTGTTAAGAATGAAAAGTCGTATTTACAGTAAAAGAGTAAATTGAATATCTGATGAATAAAAAGAAAAGTATGAAATGATTAAATTTGAAGAGGGGTTACGTGGGAAATGTGTGGGGCATAGACACGTGCAAATGATGGCCGTGTCCTCCCTTAATGATGGATTCCCACCGCTTCTTCCACTGTGTGGGCCCCACCCCCTATGAATCATATCATGCCAATTGCCACCACCAAAATCACACCTCATTTTTACTTTTCTTTTCTTCTCAACACCAAACAAAAACAAATTTCTGAAAGATCAAGTATAAGATTTAAGATTCCTACAGCATGGAATTATTGGGTTAACGGACACGTTCAAAATTCAATTTTGTCGATGCTAAAATTACTCTCTCAAACGTGTTGTAACGCTTCACAGGGAAAGAGGAGAAAAAGAAGAGGGAGGTTAGATAAACAAATTTAAAATTGAGAAAGAAATGATTCGAAGGAGAAAATAGAGTCAAGGGTGATGATGGTACTAAATTCAACAATTGAAATGATGATTAACAGTTATTCATTCCCCCGCATTCATCTCAATATCTTTAAACAACTAATCATTGATTGGATTTCGTAGTGGTAAAAGAAAGAAAGAAAGAGCTGGTAGTCTCACCTCTCACCGTGCGCCCTCCATCCAACTTTACTACTTCCTTACTTGTCTCCATTATTATGATTTATGACGCAACTTCCCTGCAAACATATCACTCACTTTCGCCGGGAGGAAAATTAATCATTCTTTCTTTTCCTTCCACCAATCAACACTTCCAAACCAACCTCATTTTCTTTATTCAATTCAATACATAAATATACCTATATTTTACTCAATTCCATTTTACCTCTCATCTCAACATCCACTATACTACCTTCATACTGCAACTGCAGCTCACTCTATTTTCGTTAAAGTCGGAGGTTTCATCTTGGAATATGTATGTTATTAGCATAGCTCGTGTCTATCACGTTTGGAATAAATAAGTCTCTAAAATATCTCGAGTGGCAAATTTTTGTGTCATTAAAATATGGTTTTATTTCATTCATTGCTAAAAGATTATATATATCCATTACTACATAAGTGAAGGTTTTATTATTTTATATAACTGGTGATAGTTAAAGTAGCAAAATAATAATAATAATAATAATAATAGGGAGAAGAATTTTCAAAAAATAGCAACTACTTTTTAATTTTGTCAAAATTTAGAAGCCCAACCCACACCTGAAATGAGTTAAAATCAGAGAAAGGACAAAAGTTTTAGGAAAGAGAATTAACTTTTTTCAACGTTTTTGAGGCGAGAATAAGGTGAAATAGAATAATTTTTAAAATTTAAAATAATAGTAATTTTAGTAACTAATTCCTTATTTGAAAATCACCTACAAATTGATCGAATCACTTAAATAATTTGGATTTTTCTAAAGTTAGAAGTAATTCTGACCATAATACAAATAATTTTAATCCTATCAAAAACGACTCCCAAAACAATAGCGAGAATCTGTCAGAATATATATATATATATTAGTTAGCAAGAATTTATCCATTTTTTTCTATGTGATTTATTTATATATTTTATTAATTTACAAATTCAACTAATATTTTTTATTCAGTAACGAATCGTTGACAAGCTAAACATAGCTCTAACACCCAAACCTAGTTTAATTGATTAAGACATCTATCTTTTTTATAAAAAAAAAATAATTGTGTATCTAATAATTGTTATTTATTTGATTACTATTTTAAATTTAGAAAATTTTAATAAACAACATCAATATGTTTTAATTCAAGAAATTTTGTAGTAAACAACATGGCTAAAATAACATTTTTATTACGATAATTGACTTCATTCCAATTAATTTTTGTTATGATTATTCATCCTCGTAACAAAACATGCTTAAATAAGGGTAAAATTGAGATTTTCTTTGATGGTAATAGAATTAAGGTTATAAATATATAGTTTGAATAGGTCAATTTTTTATTTATTCTAGTTCTCCTCAAATATGTGGGAGTGAAGAATTCGAACTCATGATATTTTGGTTGGAGACATAGGTGCTTTAATCAATTTAGCTATGCTCGATTTAGCCCAGATGTCTTTGTACATGTTCTTAGAAAAATAACTAATATCATCTACCTTATATATTTTTTATGTGATTAATAAATAGACATTCAAAACTCTTGATTAGTGAATGAGGATATATATTATGGCTCATATTTAATTAGAAAAATAAAATAAAATTTCACCTCTTTGAATGTACGTAATCTATCAATTAAACAAATAAAATCATCACAAGTGCAAAGAAAAAGATCAGAGATGAGAAACCACTCCAAATGAGCTTTTAAGACTTCGCATTAAAATGAAAGAAATTTTAATATTATTCATGTATTAGACATTATAATGAAACAAGCATTTTAAAAACTTAATAGGTATTGTGATATTAACCATGATATTAAGCTTATCAGCTTTGAGATTAGGTTTTTTTAATTATGTGAACAGTACGGACTAATTTTTTTCTTTTTGTAATTCTACTTTTTCAATGTTGATCACTTTTTTTTTTCTTTTTTTTTTGTTGTTGCAATTTTTGATCTAAGGCTACATGCTTGAAAATTCAAGTAGGTTCGATGATAAACTTTTTGGTGGAGTGTTGAAGTTTGAATAGGGAGGTAGTTGATTTCTTTACTCAATCTATCCACTCGCTCTATCTTTTATGATTGATTTTGAATTGATGATAGTTACCGTTCTCTATCCCTGGAAGAATTATTATCTACAACTCGCTAGTATTTCACATCATATATTATTTTTTCTAATTAATTAGATAATAAGTATGCACACTTAAAATTTTGATAAGCAAACCGGTGTAACTTAATTATAACAATTCCAAGGTGGGGTGTGTTAATTAGTGTTATTTATTTTGGTTAAGAGTAAAATGGTCTATTTGTTTTTGTCTATTTAAACTTTACTCTCAAATCTAATCCTTTAGATTGGTTAGCTGTTTTTCCATATCAATTTATAAACAATTATAAAAGAAGGTAAATGAAGAAAAATATATTAATTAGTAGAATACAAATATATAATGAGCAGCACACGTGTCCTGTATCGTACACATGATTTATTTGCCTTTTAAAAATCCGGCCCTTCATCCACACGTGAGTCAGCAGATCCCCTTTTGATCAAAAGTTGGTTAGACTCTAATCAAATCATAGTTACCCTTACAGCAAGAAAATTAATTACATTTACAACACTATTCACCGTTGCCGACCAAGTAAAATCAAGAAAGACGCCGTTAAAAACGGTGCAGCTGGCGCACGGAGAAGCGTGCAAAGAAGAAAGAAAAATAATATATATACATTCTAAATTTTTAATATAATAGGGACTGTGTGTATATTTGGGAAATTGGGTCAACAGTTCCCAAAGAAGTGTGTGGTTTTTCGGGAATATTGAAATCCAGATTGAGGGTTTGTTTTGTTTGTTTGTTTTCAGTGATTTTTTTTTCTTATTTATTTTCCTACCACACAAAGAAAAGACGACGGCTTTCACTTCGTTTTCTATTGCCTTTTAATTTAATAATAATAATATTGTGTTGGATTTGTTTGGTTATCCTTCTGTCTACCACCGTATCTAATAATAATAAAAAAAAAGGGTAAAAAGAGTTTGGCAATGGCATTCCCATTTTGAAGTTTTGGGATTGGAGGAATTATATTTTTGTTTTTGGTGCTTGCTTCCACCTTTATGGTAAAAAGCTTAAGAGAGAGAAAGAGGCCACCGAAAAGCATACACACCTTATCATGAAAGTGAGAAAAAAACGACCCGATTTGACTACCCAACCCACATACTACTCACTCTCACACCCACATCCACATGCATTGCAGCTCATTCAAAAATCCTCTCTCTTTTGCAAAAATATCCTCAAGTCAACCTCACCTCATCATTTGGTCTTGCTTCTTCCAAGCACCACCTCATTTCCCACTTTCTTTTACCAATTACACCTTTTTTTTTTGTTAGGGGAAGAAGGGAGGGAAAAAAAATATATAATCTTGTTTGGTGTTGGTGTTGGTGTGTATATAATTAGAGGAGGGTGTGTGTTTGGTGTGAGTGTTGAGCATGGGATTAAGCATGAAGGTGCATCAGTTTGCACGTGGGTTTTGGGAGGCGCACGAACCGTCCCTCACGCTTGGCTGCAAGCGCTTACGCCCCCTCGCACCCAAGCTTCAACAACCGCCCACCTCAGATCTCACAACTGCTGCCACCACTACAACGACGCTCACCACTTTCGACCTCAAGACCTTCATCAGGCCCGATTGTGGCCCCAGAAAACTTGGTTCTTCCTCTGACCACAACAAAGATTCTTCTTCATCTTCTTCCCCCCAGGTACTACTACTACTACTAAGTACTACCAGCTGCCTCGTGTAGTACTTTTGTTTCGTACGTCTAACGGTGTAAAACTAGGTGGAGACGCACCCCGGGGGTACGAGGTGGAATCCCACGCAAGAACAGATTGGGATACTGGAGACGCTTTATAGGAGAGGAATGAGGACTCCCAATGCGCAGCAGATCGAGCACATCACCGCCCAGCTCGGCAACTACGGCAAGATCGAAGGCAAGAATGTGTTTTATTGGTTTCAGAACCACAAAGCAAGAGAGCGTCAGAAACAGAAGCGCAACAGTCTCGGTCTCACTCACACCCCCCGAACACCCTCCAACCCAATCCCCTTCCACTCTCAGGTATATATCGAACATCGAACTCATAACTTCTTGATTTGAGATACATGTCAATTAATATTGGATTATGTTGATTCTATGTTATATACAAGTTTGGAACATAAAAATTTCCACTTTCCATACTATATTAAATTACTACCAAAAACCTAAAGTAGAGTACAATGTATTTAATTATTTATTTATGTTTGGACGCTTCTTATGTAGTAATTCCAAAGATACTATATTAATATTTATTATTATCGCAAAGCTCAATGGTGATTCTCTCTGTTGATTGTTTGTTGTTTGGTGTTTCAGGAAGAGGAAGATAGTCCGTACAAGAGGAAGTGCAGGAGCTGGGGGTTTGAGTGTTTGGTAGAAGATAGTGGTATATTGTGTAAAAAGGAGGAAGGAGATAGGACTCTGGAGTTATTCCCGTTGCACCCAGAAGGCAGATCATGAACAATCAAGGGTTTTGGGGGAAATTCCCAACAAAATTTCAGCTTTAATTGGTTTCATCTCTCTGCTTTTCTAAGTGCTTTTTTTTAGTTATTTCTCTAGCTCTTTCTTTTTCTTCTTCTTTCTGCGTGTTTCGATAAAGAAGAAACAAAGAAAGGCCAACAAAAGTAGTCTCTTTGTACTGATCATCTACCACTTCCGATTCTTCTTTCTTTATCCCTACTACCTAACTTTGAACCCAAAGCAAATGGACTACCTAATTGGTCTTCTTCTTCTTCTTCTTCTTCTTCTTCTTTTTTGACAATGAGAACTTGTTAAAATCGAAGCTTTTAGGTTTAAAGTGGACACCTATCGACACTGAAGTCCACGAGCCTACATCCCTTTCTTGTTTTTCTTAACCCCCTTTTTCTCTTTTTTTCTCGGATTTCAAACCCTTCACTTTTCCTCTCTAACATCTCATTAAATTTAAAATGTAAAAATTATTAATAATAATGTACCATTTAGAAAAGATTTTCATGCCCATCAAAATATATTTCAACGGATTAAGACATATATCTACCGATGGAGATTCAAATTAAATCTATTCAAATTAAATCTATCTACCCCTACCAAGAAAAAGAGAACTTTCATAAAGTGGCATATCAACCCATCTCGGGACATGAATTCTCTATTATTACTATATTTTTTTTTTTAATTTTTGGGCCAATTGTTGTAAATTGTGACATGCATGTAGTTTAGTGTGACAGAACATAAGTGGTAAGTGGGGGCCAATAGTTTTGGAGGGAAAGTTCCAACGCCAAGTTTGAAAACAGAAAAAATAAAAAAAGTTGAAAAAAAGTGAAAGGAAATTAACATGGTTTCTAGTGTCCATTAATTTCAAATATGATTGATGATTGAAATTAATAGGGCAAAATAACTTGCTAGGGCTTCAGAAAGATATATAATTGTCAAATTCATCGATCCTTGTCCATTAGCACAACTGACAATCTGTTCACAATGATGATCGATGATAGGGGATATTTAATTTAGCTAATAAAACAAAATATTGTAATTTTTTCACATCTATATTCTTCTGTCATCGTCTAATCTCAGATGCAGAGGATATGTCATTTATGAATTTGGTTTACTTTCTTACATGTAATTTTAAGATACTCGTTTTGGTGTCACAATATTTTTAATTTTGGTTCATTTTAATCCCAATATATGTAAGAAATTCATTTTGATGTCCTTATATATTTTCAACTTTGGTTCATTTTATTTTGGTGTCCTCATACTTTCAATTTTGATTTATTTTAATCCCGATATACTTTTAAGATGTTCATTTTGTTGTCCCTATACTTTTAAAAGTTGACTATTTCAGTCTCTTAATTTTTAATATCATTTTTTCTATCATAAATTTAACACAATACTATACTCAATATATTTCTTGAAATATATATAACAATGACTTTATATTAAAGAGTTTTTGTTATACGTAGAATTTATGTGAAAATTTTGAAAAATAGGAACTAAAATTAATGACACATTTTAATAGTAGAGGATCAAAATGAACATTTTTAAAAATAAAACTAAAATGGGCCACCAAAGTTGAAAATACAAATAGCAAAATGAACCGATCAAAATGAACTAAAGCTGGCTCATTGAATAATTTATCCAAATCAAATGGAAAGAAAAACCACAACCCAAAATTCACGCTCAAAATCAAGCAAGGAAGAAAGCCAAATATAAGAACTAAACAATTAAATTCAAAGAAAAACACAAAACACGACCATAAAAATTAGCATTTAGAAAAGAAATAAAAAAGGTAAAAACAACAACAAAAACCACACTGAACCATTAGAATAAATTAAATTCATCATTTATCGAACTTTAAGATTCAATCAGATGAAAATAAACAAATTTGAAGACTAAATCTGAACCATTCTACTAATTGAAAGTGGAAAAGAAAATTAAAATTGTCCACATTAGATACTAGAGAAATAGTAAGAAGTTGAAATGATATCCACAATTGCAAACGATGTGCACATGATTTTCTAGGATGCACATATAGCCTTACGCAAGGTATGTTTGTCATTTTCCTAACTTTAGTTATGTCTTTGATTTTGATCCTTGAAATATTCAATGTATTCTCTTTATATAATAATAATAATATTATTATTGTCAGGAAAATATCTGTCATATAAAAAGTCCTTCCTATACATTAGACTCATTTGATTACATAATTCTATCCTCAAGTAGTTATAGGCACCTGCAATTGAAAAAATTAAATAGTAATCGAAGTTATTATAAAGGTATTTTTTATTTCCTTTAGTACTGGAAAGGGGATTTGAACTCACAGTCTCTTGGAGGCATATGCTAATTACCACTGAACTATGCTCGCTTTGACAGTTATTATAAAGGTTTATTGTAACAAAATTTACAATATAAAATTAAGTCTAAGATTGAACTTAAAAAAAATTAAATCTAAGATTAACCTTTAGTTCATGTTACATAAAGTTTTGCTTTCATATCTAAAAGTATTTTAAAAAATACATAATTAGAACATGTGTTTAAGGCAAAAATATATATTTTGATGTCAAATGTTGGATATTTTTTTTTATTTAGTTTCGAATATTTTAAAAAAATTTCGATTTACTCCCTAATTATACATTTTTGACATTTTAAAGTATGTCCAATAAATATAGCAAAACTGGCGGATTATAAGCTTATATGACATAATATTTACTTATTTTGCAAAGTGTAGAAGATAGAAACTAGACTACTTCAGAAAGAAAAATTTTAAATTTCTTCCAATTTTTTAGAAATTTAAATATAAATAAAAACTTGTAGGTCATAAATGACCTAAATTAATCATCATTTAAATTTCTACTAGTATCTAACTATCCTGCCCTATAAACTTATCATTGCTCAATTTTAATTATACATCAACCTGAAGTGTAAACTTTAAAATTCTTAAAAATTAAGGACTAAATTGAAATAAAAATTATGGAAAAGCTGTATAAATTTCAGTGAAGAACATTTTAATTATTGAAAAAAAGGAAGGGTATTATTGTCTATATCCACTGTACGTTTGACAATTGAGCGACTTTTGTGCATGCATGAGGCATTATTAACAAATAGGTAAAGTAAGATCCTTCTTGCGTAATTGAATAAAAATACAATTATTATTATTATTATTAATGGGTTTTTTTTTCCTTTTTATTATTTTGAAAAAGAAAAGTATGAGATTCTGAAATGATTATTGGGTATTTATCTTTATTTGGTGCATAATATTAAAAATTGGACTTTGGCCAAAAAAAGAAGAGCATTTCAATTTTCAACCAAAAAAAGAAGGAAAAAAAAAGGACTTTGGCCAGTTGATCAATCAAGTAGATCGTGTTAGATCCTGGTGGGCCACGTGTCTAATCATATTTTCGCATCCTAACAAACAAATCTTGACCTATTTATCCATACTTCCTCATCATTTTTCAAATTTATTCACATCATTTTTTTTATTTGTATGATTGAATAAATAATCGGTTAATGTACTAAAGATTAAGGTTTTGAACCTCGAACTCACAATTATGGTGTTGTATTAAAGAATAATAAAAGTTGGAGAATTATTTTTAGGAATGTTTTAGATAGTGTTGTTCATACAAGATTTCTTTAGATGAGGTGACACATCAATTCAAGACTCAAGACGCTAATGCTTGTGCAAAGGCGACTTCTTGCACGAATAACCTCACACCGTATATGGTGCTCGATCGTATGATCTCTAAAACTTGAGTTAAAACTTAGTTCGAATTGGTGTGTCAAGTCAAAACTTAATTAGGTTGCATAAAAATTGTATTCTTTGTGCGAGGAGTTGATTTCACATTTTATAAGGGAGCTTTGGAACGTTTATCTCTAATCCATTCTATGTCTTGTATTTGTTAACTATAATGTGGTTGGTGGTTTTACAATTTTATTAACAAACCTTGTTAACAACTTGGTAATT